AATAAAAAATTAAAAAAAAAAAAAAAAAAAAAAAGAACAACCATGTTGGCAACTAAGGCTTGGTTTGGATACAAAGGCTTATGGCATAATTTAATAAATTATTATAATAATTGAATTATAATAGCTATTAATAATTAACATATATAAACTTAATAAAGGTATAAAACTTTATTATACCAAGAGAATTCTTCAGACTTACTTTCAGTCAGAAACAGCTAATTTTTTTTCTGACCAGCAAAACTAATTTAGGCTCTCCTCTCTCATACTCTTATAAAACTCATATTTCGATGAATGATTAAATATTTATATAAAGTTCATATAAGCAAACACAGTTTGTCTATTCCTCACTGTATTTGCAGACACTTCCCACCAATGCCTACTACATAGAAATCACTCAATTATTACTTCATGAATGCCCAAATACTGGTTATAAAATTAATCTAGGACTGGGGATGTCGTAGCTCAGTGTGAGAGCGCTTGCCTAACATGCATGAGGCCATGGGGTCAATCCCCAGAACCACCAAAAAAAAAAAAATCTAGCCTGGAGTTATGTAAATTTCTATGAAAATGAAAATGCTCAATTTACTTTATTTAATTATCAATATTCCATACATTTTACTTAAAATATTACATTTTACTATTAAAGTCCACTAAACCAAAAGCATTGTGCAATGTACTATAATGTACATACCACACTACTCTAAGCATCTTACCTGCATTAATTTATTTAAGCCCCACAACAGTCCCACTATGTAGCTTCAATGAGGCACCCTAAAATCTAAATAACTTTCTAAAGATCACAAAGACCCACCTGAAGCTCATTTTTTTTCCCTAAGTAATCAAATTCTGAAATGAAAAATACCTCATACATACAAATAAAGTAGGCAATGGAAGCTTTACCCAACAGGTAAAGACAAAGAAAAAAGATATTTTGGATAGAAAGAATGATGCACCAAAGGAAGAAGGAAGCCAAAGCTTAGGTACAAACCAAACTAAAGAACAGTGAAACAACATAATGAGAGGACAATAGAGTAACATCTTTAAGATACTGGAGGGAAAAATCTGTTAACTTAGAATATAATATTCAGTGAAAATTTATAAAACAAACTTTTTCAGCCAGGTGCAGTGGTGCACACCTGTAATCCCAGCTTGAGAGGCTGAAGTAGGAGGATCGTGAGTTCAAAGCCAGCCTCAGCAACAAGGTGCTAAGCAACTCAGTGAGATCCTGTCTCTAAATATTATACAAAAAAGGGCTGGGAATGTGGTTCAGTGGTTATATGTCCCTGAGTTCAATTCTCAGCGTGCGCACGCATGCAAACACACACACACACATACACACACACACACACACAAAAAAAAACCCTTTTCTGATGTAAAAACATAAAAATAAAAAGCTGAAAAATATTCTCACCAGCAGAGCCACACTGCTGTAAGAAATGTTAAAGTCCTTAAAACACAGGAAAAAATTTTTTTAAAGTACTAGATGGAAATATGGATATATGAAGAAATGAAAAGCACTGAAATCCACAACTACATGGGTAAATATATGATTTTTATTATTATTTAAAACTGTTTTAAAGATAATGGCATTTTAAACAAAAATAATAATCTAGTATGGGGTTTATGGTTGGGATTGGCAGAGATAAATTATATTTTATAAATCCTAAAGTAAAAGATGGTATATGTTAAGGCTAATGCAATATTTAAAGCAACACAAACAGCTGATGCCAATAAGCCAGCAAAGAGAGTAGAGTCATAAGCAACAAAAAAAGATTAAATAAAACATGAAAAGGGAAACAAAGAATACATGGAACAAATATAAAACAAACAGTAAGAAGGGGTTTGTCCTGTGGAGGCAAATGATCTCCTGCAAACTTTGCTGACAATTTGTAGAAGGCACAGGGCAAAGTAAGCAGAAAGTTAGCTGACCTGTGCTCGCTACCCTGTGCAGCGATGCAGCTATGCAATACCCATATAGCTCCTTAAACATGTTTAATTATGTCACAGATACCTCTTGGAAACAGTGCTTTAAATTTTACAGTGATGTGCAGCACTGGCCTAGATCACCTAATAGCAAACAAAGGTTTAGAAGTCTTCTGATCCTTGAGGTCTCTAATAAAGAATCTCTAAGATTTTTTTATATATTCCTAGAATCATTAAAATTAAGCACATAATAAAAATCTCTTCTTTGCCCAGACCCAAACATACACAAACCAAAGACATTATAGGATTTTCTCCATTCTATTTTAGGAGAAACTCTCCCATATTTAAGACTTTCAAAGAAGCATTGCAACTACTTGTCTTATAACCTAGGTATCATTACCTACATAAACAAACCTTTAATACTCCAACACCTGCAGTAATAGTAACATAAAGTGGCCAAATAGTAACAAAAAATGTTTTCAAAGTATTTTTTCATTTAAGAGGGAAAATACTGTGCCAAAAATTCTTAATATATTAAGTAGTGAAACTAAGTAATAAATTTTGATATGAGCATCTTAGTAACCAAAACAAAATAGGAAAACATGGGTTATACATTTTTGATGGCCTGGCACAAAAACAACATATACATTTATGGTAACTTTTTTTAGTTTTAAACAAATACATATCAATGATTTCTCATGTTAGAAAAAGATTTTGCCTTTAGCACACAATAACAACATACTAGTTAAGTATTCCTAATTCAAAAATGTAAAATCTGAAATGCTCCAAGATGTTCAAAGAATTCCGGATTTGGGATTTCAGATTTACAGACTAGGAATGCTCATCCAGTGAAGTCAATGCAAATAACTGAAAAAATTTTAAAACTCCAAAATCTGAAATACTTTTGGTTCCACGCATTGCAGAAAAGAAATATTCAGCCTGTAACAATAATAGCTAACACATATTGATCACTAACTACATCAAAGCACAGTAGTGGCAACCTTCTATGCAATCTCTTATTGGATCTTTACAATTATCCTATGAGCTTGGTATGATTATTCCCATTCACTATGCAGAAATGCTCTTTAAATAAATTTCTTTTCAATTTATTTTCTATAAAAGTCAGTGACAACATTAAATCTTGGACAAGGCATTTTTTGCAATTAGATAATACACGATTATTTTTAAGATAATCACCTTTCATAAATTTTCACTGAAATATCTCTTAATGATCTTACTGTTGAAGTTTTCTTCACTTATAATTTGCACAAATTGCAAGCATCCCTTAAAGCAAATAGCTAAATTGAGCCTCTGAATATTCATAAAACAAATTAATTCACTGATTCTACTGGCTTATATTTACATTGCCCCCTTTCACTCACATCTCTGAGGTTTTTACTTTGTTTAAATGTTCCAAATATATCTAGAAATGAAGCTGATCATGGTGTAGATTCCAGCCCAAGCATTCTCCTTCCCCAAACCAAACCTTAGTGGTATTCCCAACAGCAGAAGACTTGAAGATTCTGAATGATAAACTGCTAAGGCTGCTGTCAAGGAAATCTATGCTGGATGACATGCCAGATTAGATAACTTAAAAAATTACCTTCTTACTCTATGAACTTATGACTTTGGTATTAATAATCTTATTATTCATACCATTGTTTGCTGATACTATTCAGAAAGTAAAGAGATACAGGAAAATATCATTCATTCATATTTGATTAATTTAAAACTACTAAGATTGGGTTGGGATTGTGGCTCAGAGGTAGAGTGCTCCCCTGGCACGGGCGGGCCCCGGGTTCGATTCTCAGAACCACATAAAAAAAAAAACATTGTGTTGTATCCATCTACACTTAAAAAAATAAATATTAAAAAACAAAAAAGCTACTAAGCTTGACTGGTAAGCTTGACTACTAAGCCTTTTTTTAGTTTGGAGGCACATGAAAAATGACCAGTGTAAAAAATACCCAAGAAACAGTAGTTTAGTATTTTTGTATCAATTGTCTTTTACTTCAAAAACCCATTACAATGTGCACATAAATTGTGCATACATATTGTTTTTACAATCTCTTTTAAGAAACTCCTTAAAAATAACTATCAAATAAGGCTCAATAGTGCACATCTATAATCCCAGCAACCTCGGGAGGCTGAGGCAAGAGGGCTACAAGCTCAAAACCAACTTCAGCACCTTAGCGAGGCTCTCAGCAATTTAGAAAGACTCTGTCTCAAAATAAAAAATAAATAAAAAGGGCTGGGGATGTGGCTCAACGGGTAAGCACCTCTGGGGGTTTCAATCCCCAGTAACAAAATGATAAAAAATAACCATCAATCATTTTTACTTTAGTTTCAGTTGTAATAAACACACAAAAACTAGTAACATCTTTTGAAAGAAATTCTTTAATTCTGAATTTTAATCAACTCAAACTGGCCTTTTCCCTAATTATTCTGAATGTTGAAATATTTCAGAGTAGGTAATATAGTACTAATTTACATAAGTTTGTTTCATGGTTTCCCTTTCATGATAGCTAATATTCTAGAACACATAAAAGAAGATTAAATTATAGCAGCTGGAAATATAGCAGAGAAAAAAATCACTAAAGATAAAGAGACAGAGCTGGAGATGCAGAGCTCATTGGTAGAGCATACTTCCCTAGCATGTACAAGTCCCTAGGTTTGACCTCCCAGTACTGCCAAAAATAAAAATGAAAAAGATGCAATTTAACACATTTATCAAAACTACTTACTTCCCCTATCTGACTAGTTTTATACAAACTCAAATATATTTTCTTACCTGCAGTTTTATTTCTTCTAAATCTTTAGTTTTCTCTACTAATTCCCCTTTTAGCTCTTCAAGCAGTAGCTGGAATTTTTCCTGGTTTGTTTCCTTTTCATTTAACAAGCGCTTGAGTTCATTTTGTGATTTTATGTACTCACCCTGCAATCTGATTTAAAAAAACATTAAAAAAATTCAATTTTAAGTATGTCCTTTGTTCTCTAACTGCATTACTTTATTAACACTGTAGTATCCGAACGCAACTTTATAATCAGAGGGAAAAAGATATTTAGCCACCTGGGTAATTCTATGTCTTGCTATTTTGAAAATAAGATTTTATAAACCCAACCCACTTAATATCATTGCTTTGAACAAAGTAATTTTAAAGTAAAATTTTACTACATTGAAAGTGTTGAATGAATACACTGCAAAATAATAAAATTATACTACAGTTCCAGAGCAAACATTTAGCCAATAACTTTTTTAACAATCTCATGATACCCACCTCTAAATTTAAGTAATTTACCTTGTGTGTTCAACTTTGAGAGTCTGATAATTAGTTTTATGATGGTCACATCGTAACCTTTCATCAATTAACATTTTTTGGAACTCAGATTCAGAATTTAGTCCAGTGTCTCCACCAGTTGGAAAAATGTTGGGAAAAGTGTCCATATTGGTAAATAAGCTGACAACCATATAATAATAAATTGTGGCTTTATTGTGATTTTAGTTCTTTTTTGAAGAGTATTTCCCACTTCTTTCTTGCTAAGACAGAATCTCAGGAAACCAAATTATACCTGCACAGAGAAATAACTTTGGTTAGTGATCAGTGAATTTGAACTTCATTTGGTTTTACTTTTCTTTTGTCATTTATTATTTTCCTTATCGTTTTTATAACAAAACCCAGTTTTCAAATTTTTCAATTGTTCACAAAATAAAGTACAAGAATAAAGTGTAATCATGTTTTCCTTACTTCCACACAAAGATTCTTTGGCTATCTATAATACCCATCTCTAAATTTAAGTAATTTACCTTGTGTCTTCAACTTTGAGAGTTTGATCTTCTAGCAGTAACCTAACTATATCAGAACTATGGACTTTTCCAGTTTAGGTACTCCTAAATTCACAAACCAGAGTCATGTTTCCTGAAACCATTGTGCTAAACTTCAAGGGTGGATACTAGTACAAAATGCATATTCCTAAATCAGAGGGAAAACTATCTGGAACTTGCTAAGTGACTGGGGAGAATCAAAGACTCTGTCTACAAGTGACAATATCTGTGCTTAATGCTATAAAGGCTCTTTGACACAACACAAACTGCATTCAGGCTGCGGATTCAGATCAGAAATCAATCAACACATAAATATTAATCAGTTCCTAGGTGTTATGTACTGTGCTAAGAGGAGGAAATTAAATCACTTCACCTACCCCCAAAAGCACTGACCCAGTAGTATGAAGGTTTTCTTTTTTTCTTTTTCAGTGCTGGGGATTGAAACCTGAGCTTCAAGCATGCTAGGCAAGTTCTCCACCACTGAGCGACACCCCAGCTTCTTTATGATAGTAACCATGTGTTTACTACATTAGACTTAAAAATGATGAAAAAGTGTTCTTATTATAAATAACTAAGAAAAGTGTAGTTCTATAATCAACATCATTAATCATTCATTTCATATATATATATATATATATATATATATATATATATATATATATATAATATTATATAGACATGGAAATATATATTTTCCTGATAGCATATCCCTTAATTACTAACCTCATCTCTAATTCTAGTTCCTATTAAATATATATATAGTCCTTGCCTTAGACTGTATATCTTGTCCTACACAGATTCAAATGTTAAAGCCCTAATCTCCAATGTGACAATATTAGAAGCTAGGGTTCTTTGGGAAGTAATTAGGTTTACATAAGGTCTTGAGGGTAGAGCCTTATGATGGGTAGTGTTCTAATAAGAAAAGAGAAAAACTAGAGCCAGGCTGGTGACACAGCCCCTGTGATCCCAGAGGCTTGAGGGGCTGAGACAGGAGGATCCCAAGTTTGAGGCTACCCTTCACAATTTAGCAAGACCCTGCCTCAAAAAAATAAATAAATAAAAAGGGCTGGGGATATAGCTCAGTGGTAAAGCATCCCTAGGTTCAAATCCCAGTAACAAGAAAAAGAAAAGAAAAACGGAACTACAGCTTGCTATCTCCACCATTTGAGGACTTATGACAGCTATCTGCAAACCAAGAAGTGAGGCCTCATTAGACACCAAATCTGCTGGCACCCTGATCTTTGGGACTTCATAGTCTTTGGAACTGTAAGAAATAAATTTCTACTCTTAAAACCACCAGCCAATGGTATTGGGTTATAGTTTCCCAATGAACTAAAATATGGGTTATATTTTCCATGCCAAAAGTATGTAGAAACAATGCCTAAAATTCCATGGCCTTCCTGTACATTAATTTTAATGACCACCAAAGGGGAATATACTATCACACATTACTTGAAGGTCCCCCACTCAAACACATGTCTAAAAATAAAAAATCACATTATTAATTTGCACACATGTACACAAGACTCAATACTAATCTTTCTAGAAAGTTACTGGTATTAAAATGATAAATCTGCTTCCTTCCTCTTGCCTAATTCTAGGGATTTATTCTATAAAAATAGTTGAACAAAGTACCAAAGATAATACACAATACTCTTTTACAATGTTATTTTTAATTTTTAAAAAATGAAAAATCAGAATATCCATGGATAAAGTAATCTATCTGAATTACAAACTAAAAATGATAAGTTAGATCTTCCTCACTGCATAACAAAGAAAATAATATGAATAATACACACAGATATGTTTACATATACACAAAAGAGCCAAATAGGACTGGGGTTGTGGTTCAGTGGTAAAGTGCTTGCCTAGCACATGTGAGACACTGGGTTCAATCCTCAACAACACATAAAAATAAATAAATAAAATAAAGGTGTCTATCTACAACTAAAAAATACTTTAAAATAATAATAATAATATGCACCAACAATAGCAGTAAATTCTGAAGCAATATTGTAGTACTCCCTACTCACAATACAACATATAGCTTTTTATTATTAAATATACATTTTAAGGGGCCAGCATTGTGGCTTAGTGATGAAGAGGCCAGGATTGTGGCTTAGTGATGAAGCACTTGCCTCACATGTGTGGACACTGGGTTCAATCCCAGGCACCACATAAAATAAATGAATGAAATAAAGATATTGTGCCCACTATCTTTATTATTAAAAGATATGTGCCCATATCTTTTAATAATATGATTATTAAAATTTACATTTTAATAATCATAAAAATTGCTCAGATGATCAAATCAACACATTTCCAAAATAATCTCATGTTTATTGAATAGTCCCTTACATAATGTTATAAAATTAACAACTCTTATTACTCAAATTCATCATTCTTGTTTTCAATCTACCTTCAACCTCTGACTTACCAGCTTCTGGTATTGATACCCATATTATGCTACCTTTAATCCATACTTACAACCTGAGAACCTTCTCTGCTTTACTCTCTTAAGTTCTTATGTATAAACATCAATACTCAACTTTAAAATGCAAAGTGCACCCCTTTCTTGTCATTCCTTTTTACTATAAAAAAATCAGACTTTTCTTACCTTACTAGAGCTTTTGTTTGTTTTACAGTATTGGGGATTGAACCCAGGGCCTCTCACAAACTAAGCAAGCATTTACCACTGTCCTTTTTAAAATTTCATTTTGAGACAGGGTCTTGCCCAGGCTGGCCTTGAATTTGCGATCCTCCTGCCTCAGCCTCCAGAACAGCTGGGATCACAAGTGTACACCATCACTACTGACTATTAAGAACTTTTTGTAATCCCTGCTTTCAGTATATTTTGCTTCTCCAGACTAAATGACAAAGTATTACTAAGTTAATATACAAAAAATTCGTATCCACCTTCTCACTCTCACTCAAAAGCTCCTGAGAAAAAGTCAAAACATTCTAACCTATTAGGGTCCTACACAATTAGCCCCAATCTACCTTCAGTCTCATTTGCTACCATCTGCCAAAAATATCCAGGTAAAAGGGCCCATTTACTACCCCAGAACAAATATTCACATCATACTTTTGTTTAAGCATATTTTTGGGGGGTTGTGAACACTACACTATAACAATAGACCAAACATGGGCTATAGTCATTAACTGTTCTCTATTTCTAGGATGACTAAATATGAATAGCTTTAAATATAACAGGTACATAGAAAGAACTTTCTGATTCAAAAGGTATGAGGCCCTGGGCTATATTTGCCAACAGACTGTTTCCAAATTTTGTCTTCTATGGACACTTAAGAATTACAGAAAACTATTCGCATATTTGTGCAAATCTTACCTAAGTCAGAATTAATTCTGAACCTGTTAAATATTATGTACAAAAAACTACATACAACATTTTCAGTTCTCCAGTTTGGGTATTCATCAATTACTCAATGGTAATCTTGGGAAATATTTACATTAGTCCTCCAAATAGATATCTAGTGTCAGATAAAACGGTCTCAAAGAAAATTCTTTTTCTGGCTTTGAAAAGTAGTTCAGCCATTCTATATTCAGGGTTACAAAGAAATAACTATTTTCTATACTAATTATAAGGAGGTTTTCAGCAGATAACACAAAAAATTTAACTCAATTATCTTGAATACTATGAAAAATGTACTCTCTCTCATACCAAAAAATCTAGAGAAAATCTTCTAACAACAGAGGATTAGACAATTTGATTTAAGTCTCCCACTCAGGACAATAAGAAAAGCTGAATATATATTTTACACATCTGCTTGCAGGTACTGGAAAACAAGAGTAAATATTTACTGAGATGGGCCAGGAAAGAATGAAGATACAAAAAAATGAAACTGGTTTGGTATTTGGAGGCACCTGCCAGATCCAAAGCAGGTAAATAGGAAACTGAATAACTTCTGACAGCCTTCAAATTCAAACAAACACCGAGAAACAGCAGTGAGTGGGAAAGCCCTGGTAAACACCATTTGTTTGGGCTAGAAACTTTAAGACCTGCCTCTTAGGAGTAAGGGCAATTACGAAGAAAGATATTAGACTAGGCCTCAGATTGCTTTTTAAAAAAATCCAACATCATTTGTTCTAATGATTCTTGTTGGTAGCTGTCACCTATCTGGTGATTTTGTGCAGATCTGTTTCTGGAGTGTCAGTCTGCAACCCCCATCTTGGTCTTTTTCTACCATTTTCAGTCTCCCAAGAGCTTGGAGGACCTAGCCAGCTGCACTCTCAGAGACTTTGCTGACGAAGTTGGGCATGATACCATTTCTCTGATATCTCTTACAGATCTTAGTCATGAGAACCAGCTCCAGCATCCCTGTGGGGATACAGGTGCTCCACCATGAAAGCAGTTCACAAGCAGAACAAGTTCTCACCAAAGGGTACAAGCTCTTTATGCTTGGCTTGCTTGACCACATCCACCCTTTCAGAGATTTTCAACTTCCTGGACCTTTTAAGGAAGGCTGCTAGAGCTCTGAAAAACTCCCACAAACTTACATCTTTTACAGCACCTCTAGGCATTGTATAGTCTCCATGCTGCCAGTCAGAGGAAAGGGCATATCACCCCTCCCTTCCTCCCTTCCTCCCTTCCTGTTATAGATGGACATAGTACCTTTATTTTTCATGTGGTGCTAAGGATAGAACCTAGGGCTTCACACATGCTAGGTGAGTGCTCTACCACTGAGCCACAACTCCAGCCCCCATATCACCCATTCTTGATTAAAAA